GGACGGAGGGAACAATAATTTGAAGTTGGCGAAAATAAAATATAAAAAAAGTAATAAATACATCTTGCTAATAGAAAGATTAAGTATTAAGGATAAAGAGACTATTATAGTATTTAAAAAAAATTACTCTTTAAATTTATAAATATTCTCTAAATCGCATAATATACTCATTAAAAATAGTGAGTCTTTTGATTTGAAGATGCATTAAGTTGGTGACATGTGTTAATTGCACCATGCTTCTATAATTAAAAGTAAGGCGGTTCTAAAGAATGAGTATTAGAACTACGAACAAATACATAAATTAGTGTGAAGGTCATTTTTCGTTTCGAGTCTGACAAAATCAACAAGTTATCTAATTTCTTATAATTGTGCTTTTAGTGAAAGTGTTTCTAAAGGGTCAAAACAATGCTTATATGCTCGGTGAAATATGTTGTACATAATATTGAAATAAAAATAACGAATAAAGGAAAGTGGATACTTATATAAATACCATATAATTCACCTTCACAATATTAATTTGTTGATTAATGATATGTCCCTCTATAAATTGATGTAAGTAAATACTAAATAATTTACCTTTTACGATATTAAATTGCTTATTAATGGAATAATGTATCCTTATGTGTATTATGAATAGTAAATGATGTGACGAATAAACAAGTTTGATATTTGGACTAATGCAATGTGTCAACAATTGGAAAAACGTCCAACTACTACACATAATTAATTAATTAATTAATTAATAGGTTTGAATTTAAAATATTATATTAATAATATCTAAATTTAATAAAAGATTTGGTTTAGGCCTATAAACAATTGAAACGATGAAAGTCGTGTATCACTACCAATATTACTGTGGGATCCATAATGAAACAATTTTATGCGTGTGAAGTTACACAAATTACGATCATGTATAGTTATCGTGTATTTTATAAAAGTAACATTTACCTGCATTTTTTTTTAAAAGACATTTCTTTTATTTATAAATAAAAAATATAGCCTTTCCAATCATGCAAAATGTTATTTGAAGATCCCGTTAGCCAATTGTGTTGCTTTTTTTTTATATAGAAATTGTTCTTAAAATGTTATTAAGGATAAATTTAAATGACTCCCCTTGTCTAGGCAATTTTTTTTTTACGGGATCTCTTAGCCAACACATGTTGTGTATTTATCCATTTGGACGATAATCAACGCGTATCAATGAGGTGAGCATAGGTAAAAAATTGGGAAAATTAGGCCCCGTACTCTCAAAAGTGGCCCAATTAGAAAAATACTCTAAATTAATTAGGGAAGTTAATTAAACATCACAAAACCGTATTAATTACGTTCTAACTTATTAGTTATAACGAACCCGAAATCCCCAAACCCCACATCTGGG